AAATTGGCAGCTAATTGAGTAATAACCTAACTTTTTGACAGATCGGGTTATCACAGTTGCCACAGTTTAAAAACAACTATAGTTATATTAGTGACTAAAATACACTCAAAACTTTTTCTTTAAAAAAAAATATTTGCTTGCAAAAATCATTTAAACTTTAAAATTACTTAAAAAGTGAAGTGTCCCAAATAATTTGGCAACCCACTGTATATGGTTTGTAAAAAAATTGGTCTCAACAAAAAGTTTTTAACAAAATGTGTTCTCGACCTTTGATTGTGGCCTCTGTAAGCCTACCCAATACTTGTGGAACGCAGTTCTAATTGATAATATCATAGTTGTTTATAAGTTCAAACATTTTAATGAGGTCGCTGTTTTCTCTTCTATTCGATAAATTTTGTGAGCCCATTTCTTTTAATCTTTGCTCGTAACTTGCTCCCTTTCTTTTGTTGCCAATTTTTGCAGCTTTTTGTTAGACTTTTTTGATAAAATTTATATCTTTATTAAAATATGAATTCCATATTTAAGATGCATATTCCAAGAAGTATTTGAAATTTTTGAAAATATTTTGAAAATTTAGAAAATAACTCAATAAGAAAAAAAAAAAAAAAATCACTCTACACAGTCTGATCTTGACATCTTATTTAACTGGAAAAAAAAAAGGCTAATCAGTTTTAATAAGGATAAATGTGAAATCATGCAATTTGATTTAAAATAAAGTACACTTTAATATATATAATGCTAAAGAAACAGATATCATTTTATTTTACAATAGTACAAGCTTCCTTCTTCCTACTTCCAATGAGATATTTTATTGATTGCTAGTAAAAATGATTGATAGATCAGTTCTCTTCATTGATACACTTAATAGCTTCAGCAGACTGTGAAAATCAGTGGCGAGTTTTAGAGTGGGCATGGGGGTAGTTGCCCCCACCCCCCATTGGGATTGACTATTATAGGTAATTGACTATTATAGGTAATTATACATATATGAACTTGATTATTACACTAAAGTACAAAAAGTTAAAAAAAGTCACTTTTAAGTGAAAAATGCGGACCTTTTTTTTTAAAAACCATTTTAGCCACCTCCTTGGTGAGTGACAAAACCCACCCCTGGTGAAAATATTGAAGTTTGTATGAACAATATTACATATATTAGGAATAGTACAAGAACATACCGAGTATATAACAAAACCATCAGTAGGAGCAGGCATTTAAATTTAAGGCCTTAAGTAATCTGGATCAAGATACTAAATATGATATACTAAATATACTGAACACAAGAAAGTTTATACATATTTTAAACAATATTAAATCTAAAGTTCCTAAACAACAACAATAAAAATAGCAATTAAGATTTATTACAACCTTATTGTTGTTGGTTTAAATAAATGGAAACATAATAAAAACATAAAAATATAATAAAGAAATGAAAATTAATTTGGATAACTCTTTAATGTTTTTTTTTTTTTTAAATCTATTGTTTAACTTTATCTACACAAAAAAGAAAAAAGAAATCTTACATCTCTAGTAAAATGACCAGTATGAGAACTTTTTGAAGGAAAGCAAACTGGAAACACTCTTTCCCTTACTACTTTATTTCTTGACAAAGCATCTTTAATACGGTTTGAGAATTGCACTCTTCTAAATTTAGTATCCTCAGCAATTTAAAACAAAGTTTATTTTAAAAAGAACTAGCATAAATTAATTGGTTATATTTTAAGTTGATGCATGTATGTCTTGAATAGTTAATATAGGACTGACTTAAATCTCATTTCAATAATATAAATTAAACAAACAATGAAATAAAACCTTAAAACTTGGGAACTTTTAAACTTTCTAAATTTTTATTTGAAAACTACAGTTAAATTTCTTGGTGACCAAGAAATTAAAATATAGCAAATAGCTTTTTGAAAAACTGTGATCTGATACCTATTAAGAAAATTAGACAAAAGAACAAAAATAAAAGGTTTAGACATATAATCATTAAATACAGGAGCTATTTTAGAAACAAATTGATAAAGAAAAACATATTATAATAATAAATGAATTTTATAAAATTCTTTAGAAGAGGCTTTTCTATCATTCCCGTGCATACAATCAAGCACTTTACATCCTAAAACCATAAAGGGAGTACCATTAAATGATATTGAATCATCTTGTTTTGTGGTGTTTTGCAGAAGAATCTTTAAAGATAACAACAACAACAAAAATTTTAAATAATAACTATACAAATATAAAAGAAAATTAAAATTTAGCAATTGCATTTTTAAAACACTCAATTAAAATTGTCATACCATATTTCCAGTTTTTTAAAGGAAAGGAAAGAAGGAAGTTGGCTTACTGTAGAAACATACGTTGAAGTACTTTTTTTGATACATAGCTACGAAACAGAGGCTGTATCAAAGTTTTCATAGCATGAAAACTTTGATACACTATAGCATGAATCATGCTATAGTGCCACTAAAGCATGAAAACTTTGATACAGCCTCTGTTTCGTAGCTATGTATCAAAAAAAGTACTTCAACGTATGTTTCTACAGTAACCCAACTTCCTTCTTGAGAAATAACAACTAAAAAAATTTAAACAGTAACAACCATACAAACGTGGAAATTGATACTTCATTTAAAGCGTGCTTGTAGAGGAAATTCCTTTTTAGACAAAATATTTTAAATTATGAATATAAAAAGCTTATATTATATTACTCGTTTAAAAACATTCGGAATGTTTTTAAATTTTTAAATTTCTCAGGGATGTCATTCCTGAGAAATGTTTTTAAACGAGTAGTAAAACAAACATCAACTTAATTTTTTTATATTCAAAATTTAAAATATTTTGTCTAAAAAAGTTAAAATGTCTTGTATTACCTCTACTCAATGTTGTTTTTTCTAATAAATTTAAATTATTATTATCTATAATAATAATTTTTTTACCAATTTAAATTTAATCTTCGACGATAACCAGGTGAAAACGTGCTCCACATTTAAAGAAAATTAATAATTTCATAAATTAAATTATAAATGCAAAAATTAATTATGTTAACTCTGTCCTGGATGTGAAGCGGGACAATTTCGGAACATTTTACGGGACCTAACTTTACGCTATGGAATCATGTACTTATTAATATTGCTCCGTAAATTTTTTTAAATGTTGTTCGGCAAAATACGCAAATAAAAATAATCGTTCCAAATGGGATATGATCTTAAACACAACCATCTCTCAGGATCTTAAACAAGAATTTCCGTAGGTCGGTCCTTCGGAACATTTATGGACAGTAATCATTTCGGCTGTAAAAATTTATTGACGGTAATTTTGAAAAAATTTTATAACATTGAAACAAATCATTTACGTCGATAAAATTTACAGCATTTTACGTCGATAAAAAGATAAATAACATTGACACCTGGTAATAAGATTAGAGCCAAATCATTCTTTTAGTTTTTTGCAGATTATAAAGCCATAACCCTAGTGCAGCAAAATATTATGTTACTGAAAAATGCACAATATACTGTTATAACATTTTAGTACCAAAATGAGTATTAAAATATTGATAATGAGTAGGTCCACCTTTTATTTTAATTACTTCAGCCAACCGGGCTAGCATAGTGTCAACGAGCTTCTTGCAATCAATAGCAGTATTACTAGTCGAAGCGGCAGAAATTAAGTCCCAAATTTTATGTTTATTACAAGCGCTTTTGCCTGCACAGCGAAAATCAATTTCAACTCACAAATTTTCTATAGGGTTCAATCCCGTGACTGGGGTGGCCAGTGCAAGACTTGAACATCATTAGCAGCTAAAAAATCTTTAGCCACTTTGGACAAATACTTAGGATCATTGTCTTGCTGAAAGTTCCATGGAAAAGTTGCAGGAAATAATGCTTTTGATGAAGGTAGCAAATACTTTCGCAAAAATATTTCTATACATGGCACCATTCATGATTCCTTCCACCTGATGCAACTGGCCCAGCGCAATAGATAAAATAATTTCTTCACACCATAATAACCTCACACCATGATGCTACCACCACCATGCTTTACAGTTCCCTCCAAACATTCCGGTTTATATGATTAATTTTGACGACGCCAAACAATAATACGTTGAGAATCATTACCAATTAAATTAAACTTGGACTCATCAGACGTTTGCCAATCAGTAACACTAAAATGGAAAAGTTCGAGTGCAAATTTAAAACGCTTCAGTTGAATAATTTTAGAGATAAAAAAGTTTTTAATAGAACACGATTATTCAAACCATGTTTATTCAAACAACGACGAAAAGATTTTAAAAGTACACCAACATTATGCCACTTTCGAGACAAAATTTTGGAAGAAAGACGACGATTTTTTAAGGCCAGGCGTTTTAAGGTTCTATCTTGACGTAAAGTTGACTTCTAGGACGGCCACATTTGGGCTTGTTCGTAAATGTATTTGATTCCAAATGTTTCTTATATGCATTTTATACGGCATGGCGACTTTTTTTCAATTTTTTAACTATATCATTTAGTCTATAGCTACTATTTTACTTCAAAGTAACCAACTGAGTACTATTGAACTGAATACTATACAACTGAATACTATTTTACTTCAAAGCAACCAACTGAGCCCGAACGGTTAAATTAAGGTATATAAGTTTCCCCATTTCAAAAAATATATTCATTTAAAGTCTAAAATAAAAACAAAAATAATAATAAATACAATATCTATTTAGTGTACACATTTCAAAAACAAAATAAAAAAAAACCACTGAATTAACGAAAACATTGATATCAATACATCATAAAAATACAAATATATATATATATATATATATATATATATATATATATATATATATATATATATATATATATATATATATATATATATATATATATATATATGTATATATATATATATATATATATATATATATATATATATATATATATATATATATATATATATATATATATATATATTGTTTAGTTTTGTTTAATTCATCACCATCTTTTCTAGACATTTTTTGTTTTTTACCATAGCATTATAGTTTTATAATTGGCAACACTTTTCATCAAAAGTGTCAGCTGTCGTTTCACTTGGTTGTCAAGTTACATGCGCTTAACAGTTTGTTGCGTTCAAAAGTAAATATTTTGTTTATGATTTGAAGAAAGATAACAAAGAAATCTGCAAGAAATTGTAAGTATCTGTGTTAACTTCTTCTTTTGTGTTTAATGAACATTATATTTACCTGACAATTAGGATTCAACATTTGATAAAAATAAACTTATTCAAATCTGTTTAAAAAGTGAGGTTATGGGGAGCATTGGGCACGCAGGTAGGAGGGAGGTTTGGGCATGCCCAATACTCCCTCTTTTTTTAGTTTTTTTTTTTGTCATATGTTTGTGTTTTTTTGCTATGACTATTGGATTGAATGGTTAATCATTTCTTTTCAGGACAATGCCGTTTTTATTTAAAAAGAAAAATAAACGACGTGAAATCCCTAAAGATGTAATTTTGCGTGCATTGGAAGAGGTTTCTAAAGGAGGAAAAATTAAAACTACTGCGATTAAATATGATATACCCAGGTCTAACCTTCAAAGATACATAAAACAGGGTGGCGCTGTGAAAGATACTTCTTGTAAATATATATCATCCCAAATATTCACAAAAGATGAAGAAGAAAAAATTTCAGAATATTTTGTAACATTGTTTAAACTTAACCATGGCATGTCAAAACTGAAAGCACGCGAATTAGTATACGAATATGCCACTGCCATTAATAAAAAAATACCAGACAACTGGATAGAGAAGAAACTTGCATCGAAAGATTGGCTAAGGGGATTTTTTAAAAGACAACCTCAGCTTTCGATAAGGACCCCAGAAGCTACTAGTCTCTCACGTGCCACAAGTTTCAATAAGAAAAATGTTAGAGATTTTTTTGAAAATCTTAAAACTGTATATGAACGACATCGTTTTGGCCCTGAGTCTATTTACAATATAGATGAAACTGGATTATCAACAGTACAACGAACCCAGAAAGTGATTGCTCTCAGAGGCACTAAGCAAGTTGGGCAAGTAACGTCAGCTGAAAGAGGGACACTTGTAACTGTTTGCTGCGGCATTAATGCATTGGGTAACTCAATACCACCCTTTTTCATATTCCCACGAGTTATTTTCAAAACATATATGTTAAATGATGCACCTGTTGGTTCAAATGGAGCAGCACATCCTTCAGGGTGGATGACAGCATCAAGTTTTTTAAAATATATACACCATTTTAAAAAATACGCAAAACCAACGCCTTCATCACCAGTTCTATTGCTGCTGGACAATCACGAGAGCCATATTTCTGTACCAGTTCTCGATTTTTGTATAGAATCAGGCATTGTTTTAATAACTTTTCCACCGCACTGCAGCCATAAACTGCAACCCCTAGACCTGACTGTCTATGGACCACTCAAAACTTATTATAACACCGCTGTAACAGATTGGATGGTGAGCAATCCTGGCAAAACAGTAACAATTTATGAAATCCCAAAATTAGCAGCAAAGGCCATCCCACTTGCATTCAAGTTGCAAAATATACAAACGGGATTTGAAAAATCTGGCATTTGGCCATTCAATTCAAACATTTTCTCTGATGAAGATTTCGTTTGTTCTTCTATAACTGATCGCTACTTGCCGGGAGAGAATAATGTTGCTACAGAAAAATCGATTTCAGACCAACCTATCATGGAACAGCCTTCAACAGAAGAAAATCTGAGACTAGAAGATCGTACTAGTTCAAATGTGGAAGTCACTGGGCCATCTCAACTTGAATCTCTATCTAAAAGCCAGACTAGTGGCACTGTCAATGTAACACCTGATTTAGTAAGACCATATCCGAAAGCCGGCCCCAGGAAATTGGGTGGCATGAAACGGAAGAAAGGAAAAACTAGAATATTGACAGACACACCCGAGAAAAGACTTATAGAAATTGAAGAAAAAAAAAAACAAAGAAAAAATAAGATCAAAGAGCTCAACAAAAATCGAAAATGCTCTAAAAATGAGAAAAACAGGAAGATTAGTAGTGATGATGAAATAAAAAATGTTTCCGATTCTGACGAAGCCTTTGTTGAAATCGATTCATCAAAAGAAGATTTTGATGTAGACGATGTGATTGTTCTGGATAGAAATTTCCAGGTTAATAACTTTGTGTTGGTTAAATTTGACACCAAAAAAACTGTTTATCATTATGTTGGAATTGTCGAAGAGGTTAATCACTCCATGGCAACTGTCAAATTCATGAGAGCGAGTAAGATAAGAAATACGTTTATGTTTCCTGACATCGAGGACGTAGCCAGTGTCCCTCTGGAGGATATAAAGACAAAATTGCCTACACCATCAACATGGATAAAACGTGGCAGCTTAAAATATAAATTTGACAAGCCTCTTTGGGTCATACCAAATATAAGATAAGTCTTATTAGGTCCAACATTGTGGAGTATTGATTCCAAGTAACATTGTTTAATCTTTTGTAAAGTCTATGATATGAAAAAATGTTTGTGTTACAATTTTTTATAGCAATGCTATATAACACTTAAGCATATGAGTATAGTAAAACAATATCGTTCATATTAAATACAGTGCCCAAACCTCCCCATAGGGGTGCCCAAACCTCCCAACCACGGGGAGGTTTGGGCACTTTGGACACGTGTTAGAAAACCTTTTGTAACTTTGCAACTAATTATAATACTAAAACTCTTCTTAGCAATAATTAATGCCAAATATGTGTGCTAGATATATTTGAAATAAAATTTTGATTATGATAAAAAATAACAGATTTATTAGCGTTTATGTAAAAAAGTGCCCAATGCTCCCCTACCTCCCCTATATATATATATATATATATATATATATATATATATATATATATATATATATATATATATATATATATATATATATATATATATATATATATATATATATATATATATATATATATATATATATAAATATATATATATATATATATATATATATATATATATAATTGTTTAGTGGGTAGATACCAGATGTTTTGAACCCATTTACAGCGAACTATTGTATGTGATTCATATAAGTCAAGAGATGAAGGAGCAATCTTGGAAAAACATTTTTTGGTAGGGATGTAAGAAATCTTATTTCACCACGTTTCCATTTAGTAATTACTTTTTCCATGCTAATTTCTAGGGTCCATAAACTGCAAGGTCAAAAGGCTGTAATAAATGTGTACTATAAGAAGGTAAGAAGATCATCCTAATATCTTCACAAACATTCTAATTGCTTCACAAACTTTAATAACATCAATAGATAAATGGCATGCTAAATTATCACCTATAAAAAGTTTTATTGTGTTATTATTAACATGTCTGAAGTAAGTTATTATTAATGTTTGCATCCAATTTTTTAAACAATAGCCATCAAACCAACCAGAAATGAAATTGCATAAAATGTCACATAAAATTGCAACACGCTTTCTACAAATATTTTGACATGCTTGATAAGACAAAGACGTTTATGCCGCTCTAAAAATGATCTTACCCACTCATCACCAGACAAATTTTTATTAAAATACAGGCACTATCTTTCAGATTTGTAAAGAAAACATTGTACAAATAATTTAAGGTCTATTTTATCTAATACATACCTAAAATCACTAAAAGTTGCATGTATTGTGCAATTGACATCTCCTCGTCTGATAGCAAAGAACTCTTTCGACCAACCACACTACTTTTGCATAAACCACTAATATGACACCTAAAAGTTATGTGTGGTATGTTTAACAGCTTTGCCAAAAGTTTCCAAGGTTTCACCATTAACAAGTTTGAGAACTCTTTTAAGTCCACTTTTTAAGTAAGTTTTTGACAGTTTTTGAGTTGATTTTAAATAGTTTCTCACCATTTCCACAAATCTGTTACAAAAAGGTAAAAAATATGTAAATATGGTATAAAAACTCAAATTATTTTTATCTTTGAATATTTATTTTATTATCAAAAATATTATAAGAATAAAAACCACTAAATTCAAAAGGTGCTCATTTACCCCATATAAAAGTGCTCAATTACCCCACCTTACTTTAAACACTTAAATTTTTTGATCAGTTCATTTATAAGACTTGAAAACTTGTAAGAGTTTACTTCAATCAATGTAAGGTATATATATTATATATATATATATATATATATATATATATATATATATATATATATATATATATATATATATATATATATACATATATATATATATATATATATATATATATATATATATATATATATATATATATATATATATATATATATATATATATATATATATATATATATATATACTATTAATATTAACTATTAATTTGTTGCGTTATATTACATATAAACAATTAATGTTTTGCGTCAGTAGGAATTTTTTTTTTTTTAATTTATTTATTAATTTAATTTTGCCGTAGAAAGTTACAATTTATAAAATAACATAAATAATAAAACAAATGGCTGGAAGAAGACATCAGTTTGTCTTATCACCGAGCCCCATAATGACTTCATTACAGGTCGTTTTTTACAATAAGATATATAAAATCGTGATAAATTGTTTGTGATAAAATATGTAAAAATATGAAAAACTACGTTTTACGATTGATGTAACTGTTTATATATAAATTCGTTTAGTAAAATAAATTTAGAACAAATAAAAGTTAAAACAAATAAAAGAAATAAATTGTGCAAGTTTATTTTTTTTACTAAAAAGGAAAAAGAAAATCTAAGTCCATAGATAATAAAAAACGCTTTGATTCAGATTTGAACTGTTTAACTATTTAAAATCGATTGAAGTGTATTTCTTTTGATAGTAACAATCTGGGGAAAAATTTTCCACAAATAGGGTCCGCGGTGTTGGATTGAGTATGAATTTAACTTTAATGTAAATTTTGGGATGACAAAGTTGTTATATGAGAATCTAGTAGGGTATTTATGACTTATTTCGCTAAAGTAGGGTTGAAATATCGGCGGAGATAGTTCATTTTTTATTTTGTACATAAACTGTAAAACAAGATGTATGTTAATTTTGTATATATTCAATGCTCCAAGTTTGCATAAGAGAGGTTTACTAGACGCTTTTTTACTTACTCCGAAGACAATTCTACAGGCATGTTTTTGTTTACTGTAGAGTTTTTTAAGCTTAGTACAGTTTGTGCTTGCCCAGGCCATGTTACCATAGCTTAGATGACTGTGTATTAATGAAAAGTATAAACTTCTTAAGGAAATGATATTTAGGAAAAGTTTTGTTTTATACATTAGTGAAATATTTCTTAAGAGCTTTCTTTCTAAAGTGTTTATATAGAGCTTCCACGACAAATTTTCATCCAAGACCACACCTAGAAAGTTTTAAAATTTTCTCTTTTTATATTAGTGTTATTTATTTGAAGATCAGGTAGTTTAAGAGGAATATTGTCGTTTTTATTTGGTTTATGAAATAGGATGAACTTGGTTCTTTTGACATTCAAAGAGAGTTTGTTACACCTAAACCACTCGTTTGTTTTATGTAATTCTTTGTTAACTATGTTAAAAGTGTCCTAATGTCTCTATGCGAATAAAACAAATTGGAGTCACCCGCAAACAAAATTAAATTTAATAAGTGTGATGTTGAAAATAAATTATTTATATAGAGTAAAAATAATAATGGTCCCAAGATCGAGTCTTGGGGAACCCCGCAAGTTATGGCGCTATTTGTTGTTTTTGTTTTTTCATGCTGAATATATTGCTTTCAGTTTGATAAATAATCTTTAAACCAAAGTAAGTTATTATTTTTTACTCCATACACTTTGAGTTTTTTTAGAAGAATGTCGTGATTTACGGTATCAAAAACTTTAGAAAGATCAATAAAAACTCCTAGCGTAAAGCAATCATTACTAAAAGCATTAGATTTTTGGTTAACTAGCTCAATTATAGCATGGTCGGTTAAGTGTTTTTTTTTTTAAATCCAAATTGTTTACCGTATAAAAAATTGTTTTCCGTCAAATAATTGTAAAGTCTATTATACATGACGCGTTCTAGTAATTTGGAAAAACATGGTAAAACTGATATAGATCTATAATTATTACCCGACGGGCATTTGTTTTTAAAAGTTACGATCTAAATGTATTTTAAATGTCTTTTAAACGTCTTTTAAACATTAATGTTTAAAAGACGTTTAAAAGACGTTTAAAACACATTTAGAACGTAACTTTTAAAAACAAATGCCCGTCGGGTAGTATCAAAATCATCTCCAGATTTAAAAATAGGGGTGACTCGAGCAATTTTTAGTTTATCCGGGACAATGCCTGAATTTAGCGAAAGATCGAAGATGTGACATTAGACATTAAGGAAAAACAAATATATATTTATTATTACAAGCTATATCGGCAACGAGTATCATTATGAAGTTTGCGGATCTGTAATCACAATACGATGGTTCAGGTGATTTTTCAGAATGGATACAGAAATTGGAAGTAGTAGCAAAACTTTAAAAAGTTGACGAGGCGCATGTGGTGCTACCCGTATTTGTTTCTGGGGGGGTGTATGCCGTTTATCAAGACCTAAGTGTTGTGAAAAAAGAAAACTACAATGAAGTGAAAACTGCACTGACTACTGCCTTTTCTGCTTCTCCGCTAACAGCATACGAAGTTCGTAAATCGCCGGCTTAAAAAAAATGAGTCCGTTTACGTATATTTCGCAGAATTAACAAGACTGAGCAAGCTAATATCATCTCACGTAAGCGAAGAGTCGATAATTTGCGCATTTATTCTTGGGTTACCCGACGAAGCAAGAAAACAGCTGCAAATTGTATGCTCAATATTAACAATATCGCTGTGCTAGATTGCTGAAAAATCTAGAAGTTTAGTAATTTTACGTCGCAAAGAGTCTTGTTTTGTCAGTTGCGTGAATCCGATTGGCATCAGTTCAAGACAAGTTCCTAAAGGACGTGGAAAAAAAACCATAACGTGCTACCGTTGCGGCGAGGATGGTAGTCAAAATTGCAGCAAAGAGATTGAGAAGAAGAGATGCTTTGTATGTGGAATGGATAATCACTTGGCCCAGTACTGCTATAAAAGGTGTACGAAATCAAAAAACGTGGAAGGGAAGCCACCCATTTTTGTGCGAGCGGCTTCCCATAAAATTTAAAACCGCTAACTCTCTGCGTATATGTCAATGGAAGAAAAATAAAAGCATTGGTAGATACTGGATGCTCCAAATCAATTTTAAGTCGGGATATTGTAAAATAATAATTGTAAAACCTAATTATAATTGTAAATAATTAAAACCTAAATATAATTATAGTTATATTTATAACAATTGTAAATAATATTGTAAAACCTAAAAAATGTCAAACACGCGAGCAAAAAGGTTGTTATGATGAATGGAAAGTCAATTGAAGTACAATACTAGACTGTTGTTGAACTTTCTATAAATGATACCACCATCAATTTGGAATGCCTGGTTGCCAACATTGTTCCTGAATATCAAATGCTACTTGGTATGGACGCAATACGACTGCT